CAGTTGTGAATACAGCGACTACTCTTCTGTGCTCATCTTAGGTACAGTAAATCGTACTTGACACTGTTAACCGTCGTATAGCTCCTTAAAAGCATTTTCTTTCTTGGCATCTTTGTGCTCGGGCTTTCTCTCTCAATACCCTTTGCTGCTAACCCTCAAAATCAAAATTTGTCGCTGTGGACCGGAGCATGACTCAAATGTGGTTTGCAGCAAAACACACTTTTTTTAGCATAGTGTTTTAAACATTTTGAAATAGAATGCCTTAAAGTGAGTATGTAGTGTATAGTTAGTCATAGGTCCTCCTCTTACTCTCTTACTCTGGGACTCCTACACACATTGGAGTTTTTTTTTTTTCCTTAACCTCTGCTTGAAATGTGGGAATGTTCTTGGTTCTCATCCAGCTCCAAGGCTTTAAATATATCTGTATACTGATAAATCCCAGATTAGTATCTCCAGCTTTTCTGCTTCAAAATTTATATTTGTCTGAATGCTTATTTGTCATCTCTACTCACATCTGTCAAAACTATTTACTGGCTGGGCGCCGTGGATCGAGCCTATAATCCCAGCACTTTCAGAGGCCGAGGTGAGAGGATTGCCTGAGCCCATGGGTTTGAGACCACCCTGGGCAACTTGGTGAGACCTCATCGCTACAATAAATCAAAAAGTTAGCTGGGTATGGTAGTGCACCTGTAGTTTGACGACTTGGAATGCCGAGGTGGAAGGATTGCCAGAGCCCAGGAGGGATGCTGGGATGGCCATGAGCATGCCACTGCATTCCAGCCTGGGCGATGGAGTGAGACTAACTAAAAAAAAAGAAAATAATATATGTATATAACTAAAATATATATATATGTATTTTTCTTTGTCAGCCTTTTTATATCGATTTAAAAGGTATAACACAAAAACTCCTTGTATGATAAAACATCACAACAGAATACATAATGCAGAAAGAAAAGAAATGTTGAACAGAGGTTATTTAAAAATTCATTTTATGAAGGGAAGTTTTAAGAGTGTGTTTGCTTGGGAGAGGAATGGTTCAGTAATGAGATAAAAATGGATGAAGGAAAATGGGAGAGTCACATAGGACAGAAATTATTTTTAAAAATATAATGAGATGGGAATGCCTTTAAGTTTAAGAGTTAGAGAGACTTTTGTTAAGTCATAAGATAGAAGTGTATCCGATAATGAGGCTGTATATCAAATGGTAGGGAGACAAGAGTGATTCTGTGCACTGTTGTATGCTTATTGAAATAGGAGTTGAGATCATCAGTTGAAAACGAGGAAGTAGAGAGTTCAGTAGTTCTGAGGAAAGGAGGTATGGAATTTCAACTCACCAGGAAAATGTAGTAGGATTTCTAAGCAATACTGAGTGCCCTTGAGGTTTAATGTCATCAGTTAATGAAAAATCAGTCAATTTGGGTATGTGATTTCTCCAACACATCCATATTTGGATCCATACAAGGAGAAGGTTCAATCAGTGTTAGTTTTTGCCAAATAGAATAGTAGGAGAAAAAGACAAGAAAGTTAAGGGTGTTTGCAAGGCAGTAATTATAAGGATGACTACAAACTCTCAGAGCAGTAAAGAGGGAAATGCAGATGAAAAAGGAATGATGAAAAGTATAAGTAACAGAATAGTTGCCTTCATGAAGTTAAAGAATAAGTGTATGGGCAGGAAGACGAGTGGATGCGTCTCTCAGTAGTGAGGAGTTAAGCTGTGGGACTCAAGGCTCAAGGCATGGTCAAAGCGGCTGAGAGGTGAGTCATGGGACCACAGATTTTTGCTCTAGAGAGAGTCACAAAATGATTCGAATTCTCCTGTTTTGAAGCTTTTCATTGGCCCACTATCCCCTATGGAATGGAGCATTCTCAAAAGAAAAAAATTAATCATTTTCTTTTTGGTCGGAGTCTCACTCCATCGCCCAGGCTAGAGTGCAGTGACACACGCTCACGGCCACCCCCACGTTGACCTGCTGGGCTCTGGCGATCCTTCCACCTTAGCCTTCCAACTAGCTGGAACTACAGGCACCTGCTATCACAGCCAGTTAATTTTTGATTTATTGTAGAGACAAGGTCTTGCCAAATTGTCTGGGCTGGTCTCGAACCCGTGGGCTCGGGCAATCCACTCGCCTCGGCCTCCCAAAGTGCTGGGATTACAGGCTGAACCTCCAAGCCCAGCCAATCATTTTCATATTCCTTTTATTTTCAAGTATTAGAAAGATGGAAAGCATGTTTTCACTAGCAATTTGATGTTCTAGATCTGACTAATTTATCCATTGTAGAAGGGATTTTGGAATGTCAAAAGTCTGCTGTTGTATAATCTCACAAACCATAGATGAGTACTGTTAATATTTTAGAATATTTCTCTTCAAACTTTTTTTGCATATATATAACTGATATTATGTAGTAGAGAGTGGATATCTTTTTATAAAAAACTTACTGTATGAGAATTTTATTTAACTTTGCATGCTGAAAATACCTCATCAAAAACAAAACTCTTTTTAGAAAATGTGAAAATCTTTCTAAATTGTAATACATCATCTTTTTTATGGATTCATGGTATCTGGGAATTAAAAGATCTATATTCTCTTAACATTTCAGTTGATTAAGGAAGAAGAGTATCTATCTAGTAATAAAATAATTACATTACAAAGTAATGCAAATCTGTACATTGTATATCTAAGATTGCATTCAATATAATATCATTTTTTCATGTTTTCATTTAGATACATTCCTAGTAAATACAGTCCAGAAAAAAAGCTTCCAGTTAAATAGACTTTATACAAATCTATCAATTTGTAGAGGTGGCCTAGGATTGCTAAGGAGGAAATTGAGAAAGTTATGATAGTACCAACCAACTATCAAAAAGATTTTTGGATCTGATAGATTCATGGGTTAAATAGTTTAAATTTTTAAGGAAAATTGAATTTTCTTGTAGAGTACAAAGTTATATAACAAGGTTAGAAAGTAAAGCAAGTATTCTAAAATGCTGATTAACCTTATTTATAATCATATACATATATTAAAATGTTAAAGAATATGTGAACATATATGATTTAAAAGTCTGATCTACCCGTCCAAGTAAGATATATGAAGACGTTTCAATATAAAGAAGTTTGTTGACTTGGGAGGCTGAGAACCCAGAAGTTCAAGTTCAAGAAGTTAAAGTATGTAGCCTGGGCAATATAGTGAGACCCTGTCTATAAAAAAAAAAGTTGCTATCCTTTATCAGGCTTCATTGGGCAAAAAAGATGCTACAATGTAGTTTGATATTATTTAGTGCTCCTTTCTAATCAAATTATTTAAAAATAAAAGAATACTTTCATAGTGTGATAAGAATATTCTTAATTATTAGCTAATTTAGAAGGAAGATACCTTTAAAACTGGTCATCATTTAGTATTTAATTCAACTTTGACATTGTGATTCAGTGTAGCCTGTGGATTAGTGCCAGTCCATGAATTGCTTGGTACTGACCTGTCAAGAGGTAGCAATACTACCAATCTCTTAAAGTATTCAAGAATCACTGGCATTTCTGTTGTATTTTTTAACAGTTATTTATCATCTTTAAGTCAACAGATGAGTATCAAAATTGAGAGGAAGTGTTTAGAAACTTTTATAGTAGTTTGTCAGAGTAATTTTATCTTTTTTTTAGAACTAGAAATCAAACATTTGGGCTTGTGGTTTATATTTTGAGCTTATATACCTTTTAAATTCAATTCTTGTTATTTTTACTAGTTTAAAAATTAGCATCTTTATTATTAATTTTATTAGCATTTTAATAAAGTGTCAGTCTGTGATGAATTGGAAGAATGGAAAACTTGTCCTTATAGTTTCAGAAGCAGTGCTCTGAGTCATGCCAATAATGTAAGAGTAAATATTTGGAAGAGACAAATGTACCACTGTTCATGGGTGATATGATAATGTTTTATACTGAGAAGTAGCAGTCCTTTAGAAACTAATACAGCTAATAAAAACTTAGTAAAGTAGTCGCATGTAGAGAATATAGTACCTTCAGGTTTGAACTTTTTTTTTCCAGTTTTATTATGATCAAATTGTAAATATCATCTAGTATCAAATCTACTGATTTAATGATGAGAACTAACTGTTAAAAATATAGCAGAAAAAATACTTCAAGAGATTAAAAGTGCAGCTATAAAGGACAAAATTATGGACTTCCCTGCAACTTGGATGGATTTAGAGTCCGTCTTACTCAGTGCCTTCTCACAGAAACAAAGAAAAAAGTACTGGCTGGGTGCGGTGGCTCATGCCTATAATCCCAGCAGTTTGGGAGGCCCAGGTGAGAGGATTGCCTGAGTTTACAGGTTCGAGACCAACCTGGGCAACTTGGGGAGACCTCATCCCTGCAATAATTAAAAATTAGCCAGGTGTGGTGGCACATGCCTGTAGTTCCAGCTACTTGGAAGGCTGAGGTGGAAGGATCGCCTGAACCCAGCAGGTTGAGGCTGCAGTGGCCATGAGTGTGCCACTGCACTTCAGCCTGGGCAACTGAGACGCCAACTCCAAAAAAAAAGAAAAGAAAAAAAAAAAAAAAACTGAGTACCAAATGTTCTTACTCATAAGTGGACTCTGAACATTTATCATAATACTATATGAAAGGGATCGGCAGTAGTGGGTCACTGCCAGGGGAAGAGGGGGCACATAACAATAATAAAGGTACCTGATTCCCAAACCAGGCAAAGTGAGGACCAATGGGAGGCCCAAACTTCACCTGTAAAATGACCACTTATGTACCTAATCCTGAATTGTACCCCATGTCATTAAAATAAAAAAAAAAAGAGAGATTGGTAGATGGGAAAAGGTCTGAAATATAGTTAATATTGTAAGAAACATAGAAAGAACAACTTTTTACATTTTCCAAACTTTGATAAGAATATTATTGCATAGGAAACTATTTGCTACATGAGTGGACATTTTAATGTAAATGTTAATGTGTATGGTAACTCAGTTAATGACAACATATTTTTCTTTAAAATTGTTTTAGAGAGTGGAATCTTGGCATCGTCTTTCTCAAGAAATAGACTCTTCCCAAACCTTGGATACATCTCAAGCCAGGTTTAATGACAGAACTGAAGAGACTGAAGTGTCTGACTACCCTTCTCTGGAAGAGGGTGTATTGACTCAATCAGAAAATCAAGTAAAGGAACCCAGCAGAGATCTCTTATGTTCTCCCTTGCTAGGTAATGCCTCTTTATTTTAGCTAAAAGTAAAACCTTGCATTTGTAGAACAGTTTTGGGGGTCTGCAGGTCTAGTTATATTACATATGCAGTTGCCCCTCATTTTATCATGCCCTATTACTCACAGAAGGCAAAAAGGTGACAACTTCCTCTCTAGTATGTGTGCCTCCTCAGTCCTGAATTTGCAGTTGTTCTTGGAATAAATCACCTATTATCTTTTGACTGGTTCTCTTAGCAGTGAAGGCTCCATGATCATTAAAAACAAAATGTTCATATTTACCTCATTTGATTCTTGGAATTAATTAAGGCACATGTTTTTATCCTCAGCTTTCAAACCAAAAAATTGAGGTAAAGAGCTTGAATGGCTTGTCTAAGGTTGATCTTACTGCTTTCCTCTGTTTAGTATAGAACTGATTTATTAGCTCTTTACAAAAGGTAAACTTCAGGTACTTTTCAGATTATCAAAGGATTCAGTAATGAAGATGATTTTATGATTTTGATGGAGAAGCATGAATAGGACTTAGTTCAACAAGTTCTTTTCAAACAGAAGCTAGTGCTATCCAAGTAAAGATATTAGTGCCAGTGCATTCTACGATGTGGATCATTAGAGTCAATTTTAGGTCCACTTTTTTTCTGGAGTCAAGGTATTACTCTGAGACTCTGCAGTGCAGCTTGAGTACAGTGGCACAATCACAGCTCACCATAGCCTCTAACTCCTGAGCTTCAGTGATTCTCCTGCCTCAGCCTCCTGAGTAGCTGGGACTACAGGCACATACCACAATGCCTGGCTAATTTTTTAATTTTTTGTGGAGATTAGGACTTGCTATGTTGCCAAGGCTGGTCTTAAACTTCTGGGCTCAAGCAGTCTTCTAGCCTCAGCCTCTTAAAGTGCTGGGATTACAGGCGTGAGCCACTGCATCTGGCCATACATTTTAAGAAAGATTGACAAAATTAGAGTACCTTTATGGGAGGAGGTGACTATGGTAGATGAAAAGAAGACTTTGCTGTGATCAAATGTTTGAAGTACTGTCATACTAAAGAGGACACAACTTAATTTTTGTTCATTCATTTTTGTAACAAATATCTAAGTGCCTGCTGTATGTGTCCTAGGAACATTTAGATAAAAGTTACTTCTCTGAGAAGGCAGTCCACTAAGCAGAAAATAACAATACCATTGAATGAGTATTATAATGGTCTAGAGCAGGAGTCTACAAACTATAGCTGATAGGCCTAGGTTTGATTTTGTACTGTCCATGAACTGAGAATGATTTTTGCATTTTTAAAGTATTGTAAAAGCAGACAAAAGTATGTGCTGCAGATGATATGTGATCAACAAAACCTAACATATTTACCATCTGTCTCTTTTTTTGTGTGTGTGTGGGTTGGAATCTCACTCTGTCACCCGCTCCCGGCCACTCCTGACCACCGCAGCCTCAACTTGCTGGGCTCCGGCGATCCTTCTGCCTCAGCTTTCCAAGTAGCTAGAACTACAGGTGTGCACTACCACACCCGACTAATTTTTTGATTTATTGTAGAGATGAGGTCTCGCCAAGTTGCCCAGGTGGGTCTTGAGCCCACAGGCTCAGGCAATCCACTCACCTCAGCCTCCCAAGGCGCAGGATTACAGGCTGAGCCACCGAGCCCGGTTTACTATCTGTCTCTTAAAAAAAAAATTGTTAACTCCTAGCCCAGAGATTAAAATGAATATATAACTTAAAGGGAGGCTTGATGTAAGAAATAACTGTCTAATAGAGCCATTTAATAACTGTCTAATAGAGTCATTTAATGGTAAAGGTTATATAACAGCAACAACCAAAAAACGAGTTTTATATCATTGCAAAATGTCTGCAAAATTTTGTAATAGAAAGGTTTCAGCACTGTGTAGGAGATTGCGCTTATGTGACCTCTGAAATGTTTTCTGATGTAAAATTCTGTAACTCTAGCTTTTCATTTACTGTAGGTAAAATAGTAAATGAAATTTTTGGAGCTGATGCCTAGATCTGATGGGCAGAGAAAATTCCATCATTGCTGTTTTGTTATGCATAGCTGCTATCTTAGTGGTATTTAGGCTGTCACCCATGACAAATGTCACTGTCGATGACTGGTGCCAGAAGGGTTAGATACCTCAAAAACGAGGAATCCAAGTCAGTAACAGTTGTCCAAATGTGAGGATACAAGAAGCAGTTGAAAGCTGTGCTAACACACACATATACATACACTTGAGAATTATTAATACTTCAATTTTGGTCTGCACCTTTAGCAAAACATTTTTGCATTTACTTGATCTAGCTCTCCAATTCCAACTTGAAATATTCTTAAATATTTAAGGAGATGCTGAAATGCTGTTTATAACTTACTTATTACTTACTATTCCTGAATAGCTATTTTAGGTAATAAATACTGTAGATTTTGAAAGCTGGTTAGGAATAGCTGATTTTTTAAAATAAAAGGCTCTCAGGTTTCTTAACTACTCAGCCTACAGTCAACTGGAAATAGTAAATTTGCCCAAGGGTCCCGCTTGTAGAATAAGCTGTAGCATATTTGAGGACTTAGTTAAAAACTCTTTGTGATTCTTAAATAGGTGAAGGACAGTTTTGAAGGTTAAGACTGATTCTCTAAGCCAAGGTCAAAGGGAAACCATTTGTTCCTTGGTAGTAAAGGTTGTCGTTATCTGTTTATCATTTCAAATTAATTCAGTAAATACATCTATTTTGGAATACCTACTAAGTGTAGCAAATACTTTGCTAGGCACTGGGGATATAGCTATAAAGCAGACATGGAGCTGAAAATTTAGATGGGAAACAGACAGACCAAAGATTAAATAAGAGAGAGATGAATTATAATAGAAAAAATGTGCAGAGTAGATGAGAGCAGCGCGGGTGCATTGTTAGATAAAGTGAATGGCAGATGATACGATGGCGAACTCTGTGGACCCTTGGTTTGCAGTAATTTTAGGGAGAATAGAGGTGAGAGTAGAATTCTTACTTTGTACACAGTATTGCAGGCATTCTGAAATCAAGAAAATACACTGTAGCAATCAATATTACATTCATATTGAAAAAGCAATTTAGTTTTACCAAAATGTCACCCACCAGGTAAAATTAATTTTAAATAGAATGCTGTTGATTTTATAATAAAGTTTTGTTTACATTAATATTTAATTTTTTGTTTTGGGGTTGTATAAATATGATAAGGAATAAGGGCTTTATACCTAGTTAGTGCATATTTAAGGATATTAGAATGACTTAAGTAACCATTAGGGAAATCAAGATTTTTTTTTTTTCTTTAAAGCAGCAGACCTCAAACTCTGAGTAACAGGATTCTTTTGCACATTCCAAAATTACTGGCCGGGCTTGGTGGCTCAGCCTGTAATCCCAGCACTTTGGGAGACTGAGGCGAGTGGATTGCCTGAGCCCATGGGTTCGAGACCAGTCTGGGCAACTTGGCGAGACTGTGTCTCTACAATAAATCAAAAATTAGCCAGGCGTGGGCAATGCACGCCTGTAGTTCCAGCTACTTGGAAGGCTGAGGCAGAAGAATCCACGGAGCCCAGCAGATTGATGCTGGGATGGCTGTGAGCGTGCCACTGTACTCTAGCCTAGGTGACGGAGAGAGACTTTAACTCAAAAAAAAAAAAAATTTACTGATAACTCCAAAGAGCTTTTGTTTGTGCAAGTTGTTGATATTTCTCATATTAGAAATTAAAACTGAAAAATTTTAAAAATATTTATTAATTGATTAAAAAATAACAGTATATCCCATTGCATATTAAAAAGTACATATTTTATAGAAAAACAACTATTTGCCAAAACAAAAATATTTAGAAGAATGGTCTTCTTTTGCTTAAAAAAAAAAAAGCAAGCACTTCTGTAATGTCTAACTCATATCTACTTCTTCATTCAATCTGTTGCTGTATTGTACATTCTGCATCTTCTGGAAAATGCTACTGTACTCTTGAGAGAATGAGTGTGAATAAGGCACATATTGTATTAATTTGAATCAAATTTTGATACTAGGCATCTCCTAAGAGTGTCTTAGGGCCCAGGAACTGCTGGACAGTTTGATATAAGGAGTGTAGTCTGTATATTTAAGATGGAAGGAAACACTCATAGCAGGTAAGAGCATTTGCTAAAAAGTCAATGCTTGTGGTTAAATCTTACTCTGGCATTTAAGCTGTTTAAAGGTGGACAAGTTTATTAATACTTCTTAAGTTTTGTAATCATTTTCTCACCTATAGGGTATGTATAATAATACCTATATCTCAAGATTGTCATGAGGATTAAATGAAATATTACATATTAAGTGCCAGGACCTTGTCAGGCCTCTCAATAAATGGTCGCTACTGCTCCTTTTGCTTTTATATTATTATTCTAGTGCTTTTAGAAACTTCCAGGTGGCAGCATACTTAGGTGTTTTAAAGTATTATATGAGTAAGTAAATAATCGATTTTCAGCATTACTTAGCATTTTTACGTTTGAAACTTTACAGTTATACAAGATAGCTTTGCTTCTCCTGATTTGCCTTTGCTGACATGCTTGACACAAGACCAGGAGTTTGGGTCTGATTCCTTATTTCAACAAAGTGAACTAGGTTTTGCACCTCTGAGGTAGGATGATTTTTTTTTATTTGCATGTTACCTTTTTACTTTTTTTGTTCTAAGTTGTTACTTATATTAGTGACTTCAGGCTAAGGTGGGATTTTGGGTTGAAGGTTTGATATTCTTAGCTCACACTCGGAAGGTCACAGGGCTCTATATTAAGACTTGATGCATAGTAATTTGTAGAGATGATCCAGGTGATTGTAGTTTATTGAAAAATAATTTCTAATGTGTTCTAGCATTTCAGGCATATTTTAATTTAGAAGGCACACTGGAGTCTCCTCCTTAAAAATCTCATCTAAGCCGGGCTCGGTGGCTCAGCCTGTAATCCCTCGCTTTGGGAGGCTGAGGTGAGTGGATTGCCTGAGCCCGTGGGTTCGAGACCTGCCTGGGCAACTTGGCGAGACCTCATCGCCCAACAAATCAAAAACTAGCCGGGCGTGGTAGCACGCGCCTGTAGTTCCAGCTACTTGGAAGGCTGAGGTGGAAGGATCGCTGGAGCCCAGCAGGTCGAGGCTGCGGTGGCCGGGAGCGGCCACTGCACTCCAGTCTGGGCGACAGGGTGAGACTCCAACTTAAAAGAAAAAAAACAAAAACAAAAACTCATCTACTGCTCATCGTCCCTCTCCTCCCTTTTACCCTTATTCTGCAAGAAACATCCATTTTTCAGTGACTTATTTGCCAGTCTCCTTTTGTTCAGCTCTTATTTAATTAGATTTGTTCTCCTTGTAGGATGTATGACTATGAAGATTTTTATAACAGACATATCCAAATTAACAAGTGTTTCAAATTAATGTCCTTTTTTTTTTTTTTTGAGTTGGAGTCTCACTCTGTTGTCCAGACTGGATGCAGTGGCCGCTCCCGGCTTAATGTCCTTTATAATAGTCATAATGGGAAAAAAGTATGGAATTTTCAAAACATATTGGAATTATCCAAGAATATGTTTTCTTTTAGGACCAAAAAAACCCCGTGTTAAATAAAAAACTATAGATGTTTAGAAAGTAAAAAGTAACCTCTGCCCTTATGCAATATATTACTTTGTAATCACTTTTATGAAACATGATCTGAACACATTAGATCAACCAGTGATTAGGCTAAAATTATGTTTTGTTGTTAGATCACTTCTTGAATGGTTTTCAAGTATATAATGAACGACTGGTAAAATAATTAATGTAGGTTAAGTGAAAAATCATGACAGGCAATAAACTAAACATTTAAAATAGTAAAAATTAAAAGACTATTTTGAATTTTTCACTTAAAGGATCTTTTTTTCGGCATTATGAAAATTAGATTCTGTATCTGTTGTTTTAGGAGAAGCCTGAACTAATATCAGCATCATAGGGTGGTAGTCCACTTCTGGTTTCAAAAAATTTGCTTTGTTCTGTCATTAGCCACTTTAAAGGAATTTGAAATTTGAATAACTTAGTTTTCTAATCCATTTAAAAAATAAACTTCATTTCAGCACTATGTCAGTTTTGTGTTTTTGTGATAGTACTTAAAAGTTAAGTGTTTTTAATGTGTTATTTATTTTTAACTGTATATTTTCAGGGGAATTCCTGATAAGTCTGAAGACACTGAATGGTTTTCTCGACCATCGGAAGTTAGTGAAGCTTTATTCCAGGCTACCTCAGAAGTAGCTTCAGACTTAGTTAATAGTTGCTTTAGTGTATCTCAGCACGCACTTATAGGTAGCACAGCTGTTAGGTCTCAGCACTCTTCAGAACAAGGGAATAATGAAGAGACTATTTCATTTGTAACTGTTGATGAACTGAAAACCCCCAAAGACTTTGATAGTTATGATCCTCTTTGTTCATATATGTCATGGAAGACACAAAAAGATATACAGCAGCCAGAAACCAATTTAGTTGATAAAGATCAAATTTCATTTTCCATTTCATCTGATATAGCTGATGAAAACATAACTCCTAAAAGAAATGACAGTTTTGATGCTTCTTGGTCACATGTGCAGTATTGGAAGCAGGAAGCTTTACATAAGCAGCCGGAAGCACATTTAACCAGTAAGGACCATGATTATTTTTTGGATTCATCTGATACAATCGATGCAAATAAAATTCCCAAGGGAAGCAGCAATCTTAATGTCCCCTTTTCCTACATACTATGGAACAAAGAAGGACCCTCACATCATTCAGAAACCAATAAGGACCATATTTCTTTTCCATGTGAGGTTGCTCCTCATAATAATAAAATGTTACATTCTTTCTTGCGATGTTTATTGGAAAGAAGAGAAAAAGGGGTTCCTTTGACTTCTGATCATCATTGTTTTGAGGGTGTTTATTTAGGGGTTCCAGCTGAAAATGAGGTAAAACAAAAGGTGGATTCTTTGGAGGGTTATGAAAGAAATGAAGGTCTACAGAAAGAATTATGTCAACATTTTGAACAAACGAATACTAGAAATAATTTAGTATCTTCAGAAGTGCAACCCAGATCTTCAGAAATACAGTATATTGGGAATGCTGTAGTTCCTGATAATTGTATAAAAGCTTCAGAAGCACATATACTCTCCAGGGGACATGATACCTCTAAGATGGAAGCTTCTGGTGGTCCTCTTCAGACTGTTAACTCCAACTTGGATGAGACGTCAAAACAACTGTATTTTCAAGAGGAAGGATACCAAAAGGCAACTTCTGTTTTTGGTGAGAAAAATGTTGATGCTACTGAAAGTGTAGCCTTTGAGGCAGTTATTGCCTCTATTGAGCCTTCCAAGAAAGGGAGTACAGTAAATGAAATCCAAACTGACATCAATAAATCTTTAACAGATGACAGCCAAGAGACAGAACCAAAAAATTCAAAATTTTCCCCACTAAATTATAATGATGAAAACACTTTGTTTGATAAGTTTAATCATCCACGCCATCACTCTACTCCTGAGATAATTGAACCAGCAGCTTCAAAACCATTGTTGCATAAAAAAGGTGATGATGATAGCTCCCTATACTGGCATCCAAATTTAAAATCACCCCCTAATGTTCCTCAGGAAATGCTCATTAAGCCACTTTCTGTTACTTCAGAGCTTAAGTCATCTACTTCTTTAAGTGAGAAATCTTACAACCAGGCTGTTAGTCTTGTCAAAACACAATCAGCTTTATTTCAATGTGATATAAACAATAAACCGTCTCTTCCCATTGGGAAGATAAAGTCTGTTCCTGCTCTTGACCTTGCAGAGAAGGTAGGATCTTCAAACACTGCTTACCATATGAAAGTATCAACTTCTGATTCTTTGGTTTTACAAGATTTAAAGCAGCCAACCTTTGAAGAAGTTGCAGATTACTCAAAATATAATTTGGGTAAGGATGTTAGCTTTCATAATGCCATTGGAGATCCACTTGCAGCTGTAGGAAGCAACTTTTCAGCAAACTTGGTGGCATGTGATGCAGTCACAAGGTGCTTTACCATTGATTAGTGATGCATCTTTAATTGCAGTCAGCCAAGAGATATTGCTGAAAGCTGGTATAGGCCAAGGTGGAATTCCTTGGCTTGTGGGAGGCAAGTTCCATTTTACTATACATACAATTATGCAAAATGACTCCTGTTTTGTAGAGGGCCTGCAAGTGAAGGCTGGATCTGATGTTGTTACTCTGGATGATGCTGTTGAATGCTGTAGCCTAGATGAAAATGCTGTTGTATGCAGTGAAAAAGTTGCTGAACGACAAAGAGAGGTGAGACACAACAAAATGATAGTTGTAGGACACGTGGTATTTTCCAGTATTGTTTTAGGAAATGATATCTTTTGATTATTTTACTTTTTACTATTTCCAGGCACATGAGCAATGTGACTTAACTGGTGAGTACATTGAGCTAGCAGCTTTAGAGAATTTGCATGATGATCTAGAGACTCATTGGCAACTTACTTTACAACTACCATCTGAAAAAGAGAACAATTTTGGAAAGCCTGTAAGTTTTTCTGTTTAACATATCTTGTAGGTTAAATAAAATAATATTTTAGTTGAAAAATGGTAATAATGAAAGTAAAGGACCCATTTATATTCTCTAATACCAACTTGTGACTTGTAACCTGGTCTTCATCAGATATCCAGAACTGTTCCATTAATCTGTTAAAGGTTAACATAAAAGAAATGTTTATGTTTTATAGACTATTAGATAGTTCTGTGGTATCTTGGAAAAGGCCATCCTTTGCAGCTCCCAAGTCTTTCATCTTCAGGCAGCCTAACTCTTCCCAGTTGTGCCAGTATCATTCAAATGATTGTGTTTCTCTCCCTGACTCTGGTCTTCATTGTCCAAGTCTTGGACTAGGCTATGGAATAGTCAAGTATTTCTGTTTAGAAGTTCCTGAAACATTTGTCTTCTAGGGACTTTGAAAATTATAGGACCCAGTGTTTTTCCTGGAAAAATGTGAAGTACCTAATGACCAAATGGGCCAGTTGCTCATTTGGGAAGAGAGATAGGTACATATTCTCTTCCTCTATTTATGTCATTATTGTCATTGAGTATGTACTAGAAATGGTCACTCTGGTGGGTTATACAAATTCTTTGTCAACCTTTCTTTTATTCAAGACTTTTATTTGCCTGGATCCTTGGATCCCTTGGCTTTAATGTTTTTCTGGCCCCATTGTATACCTTCCTGTCTGATACTGTTAGTTCCAAGGTGGGCCCCACTTCTTTGTAATAGATTCTTATGTCTTGTTATTCATTAAATACAGTTAGATAGTATATGTGATGTATTTAATGTTACTTCTTTTTGCCCATGTATAAGATTGGGTTACAACCACATTTATTTTTTTATTTTTTTTATTTAAAAAAAAATTTTTTTTTTATTTTTTAGAGACGAGGGAGGATTCGTCAGGTTGCCCAAGCTGATCTCGAACCAGTGGGCTTAGACAATCTTTTCGCCTCTGCCTTCCAAAGTGCTAGGATTACAGGTGTGAGCCACTGTGCCCAGCTAAATATGTGTGACAAACCTTTTTTTAAAAAAAATACAATGTCATCCCAAACAGTCATTATCCTTAGTCATTTTGTGGACTTTCTTCTTTAGAAATACTGACCACTGGAGGAACTTAGTACAGATTTCTCTGGCTGGCCTGGAGGTGGTGCTGTTCGCATGTGGTCAGTTTGGGCGAATAAACTAAGCTGCTACCAGGGTGCACCTACTGGATGGTAGGACTCACTAGCTGAACTTCATTTTGCATCTTTAGATCTGGATTAAAAATGTTAATTAGTGGAAAGCAGGTGAATTTCAATTAATCTTTGGAGTGGTGCAGAGCACTAACACAAAACTCAGAAACTATAAAGAGACGAGATTAACACATTTGGCTGTGCATAAAAATGTCAAATGTCTACCTTTAATAAACCAGCAGAAAACAACAAACTGAGAAAAATAGTATCACTTTCTGTGGCAAAGAGATAATTTTCTTTCTTTCTCTTTCTCTCTCTCTTTTTTTTTTTAAGAGATGTGGTTACAAGCCAGGCTCGGTGGCTCAGCCTGTAATCCCGTGCCTTTGGGAGGCTGAGATGAGTGGATTGCCTGAGCCCGCGGGTTCGAGACCCGCCTGGTCTGCGAGACCTCATTTCTACAACAAATAAAAAAAAAAATCAGCCGGGTGTGGTAGCGCGCGCCTGTAATTCTGGCAACTCGGAAGGCTGAGGCGGAAGGATCGCTGGAGCCCAGCAGGTCGAGGCTGCGGTGGCCGGGAGTGGCCACTGCACTCCAGTCTGGGCGACAGAGTGAGACTCCAACTAAAAAAAAAAAAAATTTTACTTTAGCCGAGCTCAGTGGCTCAGCCTGTAATCCCACGCCTTTGGGAGGCTGAGGTGAGTGGATTGCCTGAGCCCGCGGGTTCGAGACCTGCCTGGGCAGCGAGACCTCATCTCTACAATAAATCAAAAAATCAGCCGGGCATGGTAGCGTGCGCCTGTAGTTCCAGCTACTTGGAAGGCTGAGGTGGAAGGATCGCCAGAGCCCAGCAGGTCGAGGCTGCGGTGGCCGGGAGTGGCCACTGCACTCCAGTCTGGGCGACAGAGTGAGACTACAACTAAAAAAAAAAAAAAAAAAAAAAAAAAGAGATGTGGTTACTCCCGCTTCAGCCTCCTGAGTATCTACAGGTACACATCACCACACCACACTAATTTTCTTCATATGCAAAGGGCTCTTACAGATAAATTCAATTTAAAAATGGGAAAAGCAGTCAGGCGGGGTGGCTCACTCCTGTAATCCCAGCACTTTGGGAGGCCAAGATGAGAGGATTACTTGATCCCAGGAGCTTGAGGCTAGCCTGGGCAACATAGCAAGACCTTGTCTTCACAAAAAACTAAAAACTTAGTTGGGCATGGTGGCTCACGCCTGTAGTCCCAGTTACTCTGGGGTTGAGGTGGAAGGATCACCTGGACCCAGGAAGTCGAGACTGTGATAAGCCATAATCATGCCACTGCACTCCAGCCTGGGCGACAGAGACCCTGACTCAAAAACAAACAAACAAACACAAACCCCTAACGATAACAAAAAGGAAGAGAATATGAACAGTCAGTTCAAAGAAAATGAGATTAAAGTCACCAGTAAGCCTGGTTCGTGGCTCATACCTGTATTCTCAGCACTTTGGGAGGCGGAGGTGAGACGATTGCCTGATCCCAGGGGTTGTAGACCAGCATGGGCAACTTGGTGAGACCTCGACTCTACAATAAAAGAAAAAAAATAGTCAGGCATGGTGGCGCCTGCCTGTAGTTCCAACTGCTTGGGAGGCTGAGGTGGAAGGATTACCTGAGCCCAGTAGGTCGAGGCTGCGGTGGCCGTGAGCATGCCACTGCACTCCAACCTGGGCTACAGAGTGAGACTCGGACTCAACAACAACAACAAAAAGTCACCAAAAACATGAAATATCTCTCAAATACTCATAAGTAAATGAAAGTTAAGAAATAAATGTATTCGCGTGTCCCTTAGTAACTGCTCTGTGCAAACATACACAATTTATCACAGATCATTAAGGGTGTTTCTCTCCATTCTTAGATTTCCCACTCGGGTTTCCAGGCAGTTTCTGACCTGTTTTTCGTGTGGTGTTGGGGCAGCCATTTCTTCAACAGCACCAACCCTCGGAATACCAAGATAGAGGCCAACTCATTTCCCACTCTCCCGCCTCCTTTTACCCCCTCCCGCCCCCCCACCCCGTCCACCCTCCAACACCACCCACCCATCCCCCACTCCGCCCTCCTCCCCCCTTGCAGTGATTACAACCACATTTAGACCTTTAGGTTTAGACAGTTGATAAGAGAAAATGAACAAAGATATTGTGGTGTACTTTTTATTTTATTGATAACTTATTTAATTTATAGAAAATTAACAGAAAGAACCATGAGATTAGTTTTATTTTCTTCAGTAATCTAAAGTAGGCATTGTTAATTCTAATTTTAATCTAATAACAATGGAAATGAAGATGATAGTTAACACTGGATGCTTAAATACTATACTAAGAGGTTACATATATACATAATTCATCTTTGTCCTTCAGACAGTCCTGTCAAGTAGAATTGTTGGGGATTGTCATTATTCCCATTTTGTAATTGACACTTAGAGGAGTAAGGAATTTGCTGATGACCATTCAACAAGTAGAGGAACCAGTATTTGAAGCTAATGTTATCCATGCACTTAACTACTATACCATAAACCGCCCTCTTTATTCTTAATAAAACCAAGATCAGGATTTTGCATTGTTTTGACAAGAGTGAAGATTTTGAAGGAAATTGCTTAAAAAGTCAGTTTCGATAAGAATGAGAAGTATCAATTTTAAGGTGTTAAATTTTAAAAATATGACTGTGACATACGTTAACTTTGCATGTATAAAAAATATATTTTAAAAATGAAGACATATATTCAGTTAATGTGCTGAGATAGCTTTGACCACTATTTCAAATTTTATCTGCCCTTGAATGTAGTCTTAAGTATAATCTTTCAGTCTAAGGAAAATGTTGTTCCCTGTATTTTCCTTTACTTTCACCTCTATTCTAGGATCTGGGAATTACTTAATGTAATTGCTAGAGAAGCAAGAAGCCAGATATGATAGTAATTTTTCTGCATGATTCAACGTGCTCTCAGGGAGCTTGTTGACTCCTTGGTTTCTTCCTTACTTTTCTCATCTGGATCACAGAACAGTCATTCATACTTATTTGGCTCACTTTTATATATACCTATCATTCTTCTAAATGATTTTTGGGTACTACTTATGTGTAATGCAGCTTGGAGCTGTGAAGAACATAGAGATTTGGAGTAAAAAGTCTAATTCAGTGACTTTGTTAGCCCTGTGCCTTGAGCAAATGACTTTGGAGCATTACTTTCCTCATCTGTATAAAGAAATAAGACCAGTAACAATCAACCTCATGCATTGTTATATTAAGTAGGGTAAAGTATGTAGCATTTATGTGGTGCCTGGCTGTTAGGTCCCTTCACTTTACAGAAATAGTATTAGAGTCTCACTAGTGGTTTCTATTCTGTATCCTTATTTATTTTTCTATCTTCTTGTTGTTGGTAGTAGCATAAATTAAAATTCTATGTTAGTTCCCCTTATTTTGACCATTTAATTCTAAAAATTATTTAAGGTTTAAGCCTTAGATTTCTTTCCCTATCGCCTCCTTTAGAGACCTAGTTTTCTCTCAAGGCTTAAATGCTTATCTCTGTGTGAATGCTTATCACTTCTAGTTTTAGACCCTAATATTTGTCTTATGGCATTTTGCATGAAGTTTTTTTATGAACATTGTCATCACCTTAAATTCAACTTGCCTATATCAAACTAACTAATGTTTTTCCATTAAATCAGACTGACTTGTGGACTTAAAGGAGTTCTTAATGGAAGTGTTAACAACTTTTTAGTTTCTTAGTCATCTTTAGATTCTTTATTACTGATACAAAGTTGGGAGATAAACTAATTTTGATTTTCTCCTGGTTCCTCCCATTTTCAATTAGTAATGAAGATCTGCTGATCTCTTAAATAAATGTCTCATCTTTTAAAAAAAAATCGTACATTTTCTTTTGTCTTACCTACTCTAGTGCTATATTTTGAAACTTTGACATAATGAAATTTTATTGAAGTCAAGTTTGTAATAGAAATATTTTTTGCATTTGGAAGCTGTAGGGATAACTGCTATAAACACTCATACTCTCTGTCACAAGTATCTGTGTTGTATGCAGTCATGTGCCACATAATGACACTTCAGTCTGTGATGGACCACTTATAGGATGGTGGTCCCATAAGATTATAATACTGTACTTTTTCTGTGTTTAGATGCATTTAGATATACAAATATCCTTGTGTTATAATTGCCTACAGTATTCTTAATATAATAACATGTTGCACAGGTTTATAATTTAGAAGTAGTAGGCTAGAACATATAGCTTAGGTGTATAGTAGGCCATACCATCTAGGTTTGTGGAAGTCACTCTGACTTTTCACAGTGACAGAATTGCTTAACAGCACATTTCTCAAAATGTATCTAGGTTGTTAAGTGAGGTATGATTGTATATCTATATATAGATACATGTAGATGTAGATAAGCTGTACTTAAAAAAAGTCTCCTTCAGGAATGAGTTAATTGAAAACTAACAACTTCATGCTATCTGTAGAGCAGGGTTTGTTAGCACTGTTATCATTTTGGGTTGGATAATTCTTTGTCCTGGGAGACTGTCCCATGTATTTTAGGATGTTTTGCAGCATCTCTACCCTCTACTCACTAGATACCAGTAGAATCCCCTTGCCATCAAAAAGTTATGACAGCCAAAAATGTCTCCAGGCTCTGCCACATGTCCTTTAGAGATACAAAATCTTTACCCGTTGAGAATCACTGGTTTAGAGAAACCTATATGGGTAGTAGATATAGAATATGCATTTCCACACACTGCCAATTTTCTAAGAATGTTTTTACTACACAATATAGTAACTGATAAAAGAAGATAGAAAAATGTATGCTTATGTGCATTTTTAGATTTCTTCCTGAGAGGGTGTGACTGGAATAATCTTTTTAGGGAAATAAAACTAAACATAATACATGTTTTTATGTGAGAGTTACTGTGAATTAGGTGAAAAACTATACATGTTTATGTATTAATATTACTAATAATGGTTTCTAATTTTTTTTCTAATAAGGACTTGTTGGGATCTGGTGAAACATTAGTAACTTATTTTTTAGCAGTTAACCTTTACTTCACTATCAGTTTATAGTCGCCACTACTTTAAGAAGTTTGAGTACTTAAATTTTTTTGGTAACTGATTCACAGTTACAGTTCTTTTTTTGTTTTGTTTTGTTTTGAGTTGGAGTCTCACTCTGTTGCCCAGGCTGGAGTGCAGTGGCATGCTCACAGCCACCACAGGCTTGACCTGCTGGGCTCAGGAAATCCTTCTGCTTCAGCCTTCTAAGTAGCTGGAACTACAGACACACACCACCATACCTGGCTAATATTTTGACTTATTGTAGAGATGAGGTCTTGCCAAGTTGCTCAGACTGGTCTCGAACTTGTGAGCTCCGGCAATCTTCTCACCTCAGCCTCCCAAAGTGCTGGGATTATAGGTGTGAGCCACCGGGCCTGGCTCAGTTATAGTTCTTTGGTGTTCTTGTTTTTGTTCTAAACATTTTTTGAGTTTCTAGAAAATATTCCTGTTCCCTTTTTCCTTCTTGCTTTTTGCTTCCAGAACACGTCTCTGTCTTAAAAAAAAAAACACCAAAAAAAAAACAAACCATTACTAGGCACAGTGGCTCAAGCCTATATTCCCAGCACTTTGGGAGGTAGAGGTGAGAGGGTTGCCTGAGCTCAGGGGTTTGAGACTAGCCTGAGCAACATGGCGAGACCTCGTCTTTACAATAAATTAAAAAAAATTAGCTGGACATGGTGGCACATGCCTGTGGTTCCAGCTACTTGGAAGGCTGAAGCAACAGGATCGTGTGAGCCCAGCAGGTTAAGACTGCGGTGACCATGAGTGTGCCACTGCATTCCAGCCTGGGCAATAGAATGAGACATTGGTTAAAAAAAAAACAAAAACCCAAAAAACCTTTCGCTTGTCAATAATAATACCATAGTTAAATCTGTATGATTATGAAGGTAAGGAGCAAACTTCTGAATAACAGAACACTTCTAGGCCCACTATATGAAGTATTCTATGTAGGCAGATTTCTAAACTCTCAATGATTTATAGAGCCTTCTCAGAATTGACCAAACAGGATATGAGCTGTATATAAATATAGGAGCATTGAGAATATGATCTTAAGTAACTAATATTACTGCTAATTCATTTTTATAAAATGGGTGTTCTTTTTTTTTTTAGCAGATGAAGTCTGAAATTAATATAATCTTATCTTCTTCCTTTTCTCTTTTCATAGGTAGATCATTCTAATCTGGGCACTAGTCAGTCATTTTCATCTTTATTGCCATCATTTGTTTGTTATGAACCAACGAGAGAGTCGGAATATCATTCTTCAAATCTTAGAATGTTGAGGGTATCTCCTGATGCTGTGCCAGGGACTCTCAAACATTTAGCAGGTATGTAGAAAATGGAGGTGTTAAGTGTTCTCCTATTGCTACTTTGTGAAAAATATGTTTTTATGTCTCTCAAATTTATTTTTGAACTCCTACAATAATAATATTTTAAGTTAGATGTGTTTATCTTAGTCTGTTTGGACTACTGTTAAAGAAATATCTTAATACCTTAAGTGTGACTTTTAAACAGTAGACAATTGTTTCTCACTGTTCTGGAGTCTGGGGATTCCAAGATGAAAGTAGGTTGGCAGATTCAGTGACTTGTGAAGGTTTATCCCTTTTAGATGACACTCTTCTCTCTATGTCTGCACATGGTGGAAGGGGCAAGGGATCTCTCTGTCTCTCTGGGGTCTTTTTATAATTGGCACTAATCCCAAATGTGAGAGTTCCTTCATGCTCTAATTCCCTCCCAAAGACCCTACTTCCTGATATCACCTTGGGGGGGGGGGTCAGGATTTCAACATACGAATTTCAGGAGGACACATTCAGACCATAGCAAATCTTCTGATCTTTTATTAGATGGATCTTTTTTTTTTTGTTATTTCATTCTACATGACAGTGTTAAGAACTGAATTTTATGGGGGAGTCTGCCATTAGAGTCAGTTTGTTTCTTTATTCTTTTGTGTGATTTTAAGGGGAAAATAAGTTGATTGAACTCAAGAGGACAAGAGTGGATGCAAATAAGTTTGTAGAGAGGAGATTAAGAGAAATCAATTTTGAGGTAGAAAGCAGGATTATCTGTTGAGGGAGGTGGGTAGTAGTGGAAGAAGATTAGGGAGTTTGAGGAGAATGGCTTGGTGAAGACTTAAAGTTTATGTTGAAGTGAATATGAGATGGAGCTGAGTAAGGAAAAGTAAGCTTGGTAGGTAATTCTGGGAAGTCAGCTGAGGTTGGCAATGATTTTATAGTGTTATCAGCTTGTATAGAATCCTGCTAAAACTCAGGAATGGAGAAGACGAATGACAGTATTAAACCTTGGTTGAGGGTTTCATTGAGTGTGTGTGGTGGAAGAATATCAGTGGAAGAGAAGAGTTGACCAGCTATTGGTTTTAACTTACATAGGTAAAGAGAAGCTGGAAAAGTTGTTAGTCTGGAAAAAATAGAAGGACCAGAGATTTACTTGTGAAGTTGACTAGATGAGGTGGGAATAAGTTACTGAGAGAGCTGGAAGAATGGGTAATTTTGGTCAGATTGAATTAGTAGATTTAAATGAGGATTAGTTTGAAGGGTAATTAGATATGTTAAATAGCCCTGGGACTGGATGGTAGAAATTGAGTAAAGATTACTAGACTAAGTACATTTTGAAGCTAGTTTATTGGATTGGTTGATTATGTTTAAATTGTTTCTGGTTTTGTAGAATTTGGGGTTTAAGGAGAACCTGTGAACCAGACCTTGAAGTCTTTATAAAATGAATGGGGGTGGCTGGGCTCGGTGGCTCAGCCTGTAATCCCAGCACTTTGGGAGGCCAAGGTGAGTGGATTGACAGAGCCTGTGGGTTTGAGACCAGCCTGGGCAACTTGGCGAGACCTCGTCTCTACAATAAATTAAAAAATTAGCCTGGTGTGGTAGTACACGCTTGTAGTTCTGGCTACTTGGAAGGCTGAGGCGGAAGGATCGCTGGAGCCCAGCAGGTTAACACTGGGTTGGCCATGAGTGTGCTGCTGTACTCCAGCATGGGTGACAGTGTGAGACTCCAGTTAAAAAAAAAAATGATTGGGGGTTAGAAGGGATTAAGATGGCTGATAAGAGGCTGCTACAGTGTGTTTCTCTTATGGAGTAAACCAAGATAGAATTTCCTCAGTATCTAGAGAGGATGCAGCACGTTGTACATCTCATCAAAGAAGCAATAATAACCATATATTGCAAAGAAGAAAAAAGCCAATCAACCTGGGTTGAAACTAGCCAGACTTTTACCCAGAACACAGCACAGACCATGAGCAGCCTTTGGATGCAGTGCGGAAGGTGAGTGAGGGGAATTCAGGAGTTCGGTGCTCCTGTCACAGACTTGGAAGGCCCTCTGTGCTGTGCAGGGCTCCAGACCCTCGTGTGTGAAACTGCCTTAACCACAGCTGCACTCCACTGAAACCCATGTGGAGTAGTGCAGGGAAAACAGCCCTGAACGCCTCCACCCACCATATCTCAGGAACTCAACTCTTGCTGATGGCTGCTTTCTAGCCAGCTTGGGAGGGGACAGGTCCCAAGGGCAAACTGTGCAGTGGCAGACAGTTCCTGGCTGGGCCAGTCTGCTCTGGGAACATCTGAGGCCAGTGAAATACTCAGAATGCAGACTGCCTGAACCTAGGACTGGGAGCTGGGTGGGACTCATTGCCATAGCAACCGTTCACTCCCAAGGTAATTTCTTTTGTGCCTGTTCTGCATGACAGCATTATCCCAATGTCTGAACTCCCTCCCAGTCTGCTCTGGGGTCACCAAGAGTGCATATAGGTGGGAAACTTGAGCTCTTTTTCCCCCTTTGAAGGCTCAATGCAGACAGAGAACTTGGATAATCTCCACAGTCCTATCCACTGCTTAGGTTAGCTGGGCACTTCCTTGGAGCATCACAGGCCAAGCAGAAAGCCTAAGGCTACCATCACAGCTGACTCTCTCTCTCACAAGTGTCACCTCTTGGTTGGAAGTCAACAGCACAGCCTATCATATCTAACATAATACCTCAGCTTTGGGGAAGGTCTGATCCCACACCCCTGCTAACACCACTATCCAAGCCATCTAGTCACTCAGGATGCTTTGGGTATCCTACACAGGACCACCACAGATGGCAATTGAGAAAGTTACCACAACAAAGCTGTGTATAATCAAGGGAAACCTACAGTGCCCACAACAGTGCCCTGCTAACTTATTTCTTAAAATAAAAATAAATAATCTACACAAATGAGAAGGAACCAGAAAAATAATTCTAGCAATATGGAAAGAAAGAGTTCTTAAACACTCTTCAGAAGACCGCACTAACTCTTCAGCAATGGACTCTAATGAAAATGAAATCTTTGAAATTCCAGTGATAGAATTCAAAAGGTTGGTTATAAAATTGCTCAGTGAGATTCAGGAGTAAGTTGAAAACCAACATAAAGAAAGAATTAGAGCAATTCAGGACATGAATGAAAAAAAGAGATATACATTAAAAAAAAGCAAGAAGAAATTCTGAGAATGAAAGAATAATTTAGGAAAGTACAAAATGCAGTGTAAAGTTTTAGTAGTAGACTAGAACAAGTAGAATAATCTTAGAACTTGAAAACAAGGCGTTTGAATTAACCCAGTCACACAATAATGAAGAAGAATCAAGAGAATGGAACAAAATGTCTAAGAAATGTGGGATTATATAAAATATCCAAACCTAAGAATCATGGGTGTTCCTGAGAAAGAAGGGAAAATAACAAGTTTGGAAAATCGATATGAGGGGATAATGGAGAAAAATTTCCCTGGTCTTGCCAGAGGTTTAAACAGGCAGATATGAGAAGCCCAAAGAACTCCCAGAAGATACATTGCAAAAAAGTTATCCCCAAGGCATATAGTCATCAGGTTATGCAAAGTTAACGTGAAGGAAAGAATTTTAGGAGCAGTGAGACAAAAGCATCAAATAACTTACAATGGTAAACTTGTCAGATTAACAGCAGACTTTTCAGAAGAAACCCCACAAACCAGAAGGGATTGGGGCCCTATCTTCAAACTCCTCAAATAGAATAACAGTCATTGAAATATTTTTTTATCCCACGAAACTAAGTTTCATAAATGAAGTCTTTCTCAGACAAGGGAACTCAGGGAATTTGTCACCACTAGACTGGCTCTACAAGAAGTACTCAAAAGAGCTCTTAATATTGAAACAAAAGGTCAAAATATACCATAGGAAAACACTGGAAATCATAAAGCTCATAGGGCTTATAGAACACCAGCACAATAGATAAAAATAAATAAATAAGGCAACCAAATAACAACCAACATGATGAATGGAATAGTACTTTGCATATCATTATAACTGCATGTAAATGGTTTCAGTGCCCCACTAAACGATATAGACTGGCAGAATGAATACAAAACCACATTTCAGATATCTGCTGCCTTCAGGAGATGCACTTAACACACAGAGATACCTATGGACTCAAAGTAAAGAGATGGGAAAAAATATTCCATGCAAATGGAAACCAGAAACAAGCAGGAGTAGCTATTCTTAGATAAAACAGACTTTAAATTAGCAACAGTTGGCTGGGTGCAGTGGCTCACACCTATAATCCCAGCACTTTGGGAGGCTGAGGTGAGAGGATTGCCTGAGCTCACAGGTTCGAGACCAGCCTCAGCAACTTGGAGAGACCACATCTCTACAATTAAAAAAAAAATTAGCCAGACTTAGTGGGATATGCCAGTAGTTCCAGTTACTTGGAAGGCTGAGGTGGAAGGATCACCTGAGCCCAGCAGGTTAAAGCTGTGGTGGCCATGAGTGTGCCACTGCACTCTAGCCTGAGCAACAGAGTGAGACTCCAACTAAAACAGCAACAACAACAACAATAAAAAAGGACAAAGATGGTTATTGTATAATGATAAAGGAATCAATCCAACAAGAAGCCTTAACAATTTTAAATATATGTCCACCTAATACCAGTGGCTACAGCTTTATGAAACAAATTCTACTAGACCTAAAGAGAGAGAGAGAGAGAGAGAGAGAGAGAGAGAGAGAGAGAGAGAGAGAGAGAGAGAAAGAGAAAGAGAAAGACAACAATACAATAATAGTGGGAGACTTCAACTCTCCACTGATAGCAGTAGACAGATCATCAAGGCAAAAAGTCAATAAAGAAAAATGGCATTAAACTGTACCAGAGCAAATGAAACTAATAGACATCTACAGAACATTTCACCCCAAAAGTATGGTATATACATTTTTCTCATCAGCACATGGTACATTCTCCAAGATAGATCATATGATAGGTCACAAACCAAGTCTGAATAAATTTTAAAAAGCTAAAATCATATCAAGCACTTTCTTACACCACAGTGGA